AAAGTTTATACATAAGGGGAAAAAGTGTAAAGGCCCTAGATTTGTTCTCCTTGCCCTCTTATGATTTGGGGAGTTTTGATCTGTATTTTGCTGCTTGGAAGAGAAATCTTACTAAGAGCATTTCTCCACAGTGTAGGAAGGTTTATTCTTCTGGCTGTCTATAGGTCTTCAGAGTTCATGAAGAGAAGCTGGCAATACTGAGATGTAATGTAGACTATCAAAAAGCAAATACCTAAACTAGGCCAGATGAATCACCTCCTAGGAAAATTCCTCTCCTTTGACTATAAAGAGAGTCTACAGCAAATTAGCTCAGCTACGGACATCTAAACTCTAGTTATCCAGAACAGCTGAAATGAATCTCCCTGCTGGTGTCAGCAAACTGGAAATGGCTTATAATAAAACCCAGTTTCGTTTCAACAGCTCAGCTGTGACGTGAAAGTCTGCACAATCACTGACAGACAAAAAATGAACATCAGGGTTTCGAGGTTCCCCCTGCCTGGCTGTGAGAGGAGTTCCTGCCTCTAGACACTCAGGCTTCCAGGAGGGCACCAGAAAGGATTGTTACCTCACTGGATATGTGGTCAAAGGCAATGTGCCATTTATGTGTACATTTTTGGTTTATAATGTAACTAATTAATTGACAGAATTTGTCCAGATAAAATGTAGTGAATTCCCTCCCTGCTCTCTCAGCTGTCCTCAACAACAGGGTGTTAGCCAGGACCCAGCCACTCTGCTGACACAGCTTCCCAGTTTCCTTTCCCCTGCTCCATTTCCTTTTCAAATTGAAAGCTATTAGAAGTCTTTAGGCAAATAATAGAAACCTAATGCAGGTGCCTGTTATAAATTGTTCACTGGTTACTTTTAACCTAATGTCTCTTCAAACATCACTTTGCAGAAGGCAACGAGGGTAGGAAATGCCTCATGGATTCTGAAAATCAGTGGGTCAAGAGTTAAGGTCATAATAATGTAGCCCATTTCTCCTTGTTTGTCAAATAACCTGGATGCAGTTACATCCCTGGATCTTTTAGCTGAGATTGACTGCCCTCAGTAAGAATGTGAGTCTCGTGGGGAGCAATCTCTGTCCCGAGTAAAACCTTCTGTACAGCCCTAAGCAGGGTGGGTGCCATAAGGCTGGTGGTGCCAGTTACTGCTCATGGAGGATTCTGCCACTCACAAGTCCACAGCTTTCCTAGGCATGGCTTGAGGATGTGCACAGTCTGGATCTGCTACATGTCTGAGGTTAAATTAATCAATGCTTATGAGGAAGCTTGACTTTCATAAATAGAAATTGCTTGAGAAACTTGAAGTATTCTGCAAGCAAAATAAAATAGGAAGTAAACATTAATAACAAGAGTTAGTAATTACTGGTTTTAATGCAAAATAGACAAATGTACAGAAGTGCCTATTAATTCTGAATCACTGAAGCAAATATCTAGGCTCCAGAGCTGAAAATGCTGCCTAAAATGCCAGTGTGATTAGTCAATGCTAAAATCTGCCTTCATCAGCTAAGCATCACATCTTGTTCTCAGAGAAAAATTCCTCCCATGTTCACTGGCAATAATATCAAGCATTACACAGGGGATAAACCTCCAGCTCTGTGTGTGTACCAAACAAGGGGACAATCTGTTAGCATGTATGCTCCTGAACACAGCGGACAACTGTCAGGTTGTTGGAAGTATTTCTCATCATGCTGGGTGCCCTCACAGGCAGCATTGAACAGTGCTACGTTGGTCACAGATCACTTTCTCCATTTGGCTCCCCAGTGAGGTGTAAATATTTCAGAGCTAATGCATAAGTCATGTACACCTGGGTTTCCAAGTGCCACAGCAGCGAGACATAACTCTTGGGTATTTCTGAGCATAGAGGAGCATGGATTATTTTCTGACACTGCAAATGGAAAATACATGGAGATCTTTAATGTTTAACACTCAGACTGGTTCTGCAAATTCTGGGAAGCCATTGCCTCCCAGCCCCAGGCAGCATCTAAGTGATGTTCTGCAAGCATGTACACCTTGCCAGGACTGGCAAACACCCCAGGCTGTGTCCACACGTGGTACCCACTGGGGCCCCACATCACTGCAAGTCAACATATGGAGTTAATTCACACAAACTTGAACACCCCAAGCACACTGGCTATTGCTGCGCAGGTGGACATTGTGATACAAACAATATCAGAGGTGCATTATTGCTGCATCTGATAGGTGTTGGGTGCCTTTCTGTTTCATTTGTGAATAAATCGAGACCTTACAGGAAATCCTGAGTGCATTCATCAGCTTACCTTCATCTGAGAGGAGAAAAAGAGTTAAGTTTACTTGTGGATAAAATTATTGAAAAAATAAAAGACATGACACTGTGTACTGGGCTGATTGAGGGGTGAGGAAGGTGTAGATCCCAGAGAGCAGGAGGGCTTACCCAGGTGGTTTGCTCTGTATTTTCAGATGCTTTGGCTATGAGGTGAAGGGGGAGAGGAGGAGGCACACCAGGGGCTTGCTAATGCTGGGAGAAGGAGGCATTTGGTCTCTCTGCCCTGAGAAGGAGTATTGGCAGAGGTCCTCAGGGGCAGACAGAGAGGCTCATGGGTTTCTGTAGGAGGGAATTGCCTCTTGGTACTCCTGCTGTGCCGAGGTAAATAAGGCTCTACCTACAGTGGTAAAGAAATAAAATTGAACAAAAAAATAGCTGATTCTTTTCGTGGGCCTTCCAACCAAGGAAAATATTACATACTGTTGAGGAAAATATACACTGATGTTTGAGATGCTGAGTGGGACTCAAACACCTCAGTAGCAGGCAGTGGCCCATGAAATGTTTGATGCTAGTCCATGTGAAAGACACTGTTAACTAGATGGACATGTCACAATCTAAGATACCTATTATTTTTCTCATGAAAGCAGTGACCCTAAAGCAAAGCAATTTTAATGTACAGACTACAAGCACATTTCTTTGTAGGGAACAAGTAATTTTTCCACCTCAACTTTTTACCTAGTAATAAAACTGGAATAAACACAAAGGATTTTTCTCCTACCCATTTCTCCCAAGTGTTCCCATCTCCATTTTTTGGGTTTTCAAGATTTCCAGCTCTTTTTTTTCTCCCGAATAAATACTCCAAAGCACTTTTTTAGGGCCACATCTATAGTAACAAATAGAGATTAAGCTCTCAGCACAGGCATACAGTGATGTGTACTTTGTCACTAGTACCTGTAACAACTTCTATATGAAATTCTCACACCCAGGGGCTCAGACGGGATTAACTGAATTTTTCACAATACTTACCCCTCTCCTACACATGCCACAATGCTGTTGTGCCACATTACAACTAAACTTTTTGGATTACTGAAGATTTTCTATTGATATAGGCATGAAATAATTTTGATAGAATTTGCAATTATATTCATTAAGCATGGTTACAGCATGTCATCCACTAGTAGTCCCAGTGTTGTGTGGTGATTATGATGGGCTGTTGATGGTGTTTACTAACTGGGAGATCATTGACAGCACCAATCCTTTTGTTTAAAATATTATTTCCTTCTCCATTCAACTCTTTTGTCATTTAACACCAATAGATTTTATAAGGGAACATGGCCCCAAACATGGCAAGCCAAAAAAAATCTCTGCAGTTTTTCAGTTTTTCTGCTATTCAATAGACCTTGTAAGAGGAAAAAAAAATCTTTTTGCTGACTCTATAAAACTATTCCTAATGCTTTTCTAAAGCTAAAGTGATACTATAGAAACAGCATCAACAGGGACCACAGGAAGATTGTTTCCATTCCTCCTATGGGTATTTGCAGTCTCAGACCTGTCTTCATTTGACTTGTCACACTTTGAGGTCTTGATTCAGTTACCTAAACATGGGTGTGTGTTTTCACTGAGCCTCTTTATGGATTTCTGTGTGAGATGCATGGGGAGTGTGCAGAACCTCCTGGGCTGCCCAGACTGCAGCCTGACATCAGACAGGATATCAAGGGCATCTCAGGTGACTCTACCTGGGCACAGCCACACCAACACCTGCAGTCTGAGCTGCTGTGCAGGTGTTTGCCCACTCACAGCCATTGTGTCAAACACAGCCCTACACTCAGGGGCTACTTTGTCCCTTCTAGAGGAAGCACCTATCAGGAAAAACAATTCTTTTTCCCAAGAGCTGTTCTCCTGTTCTTTGGTATTCAGAAAGATGAGTCCAGAGATGTGTTTTTCAAGAGATAATTTAATTTTGGGGTCAATTCATTCTGAATTCTACTTTGAAATTGTCCACAGGGCTGAAGGAACTATGTTTTAGAGTGAAACCCAGATCCTGTTGAAGTCTCTAATCATTTTGCATCTGACTCCAAATAACTTAGGATTTATTCCTAGAAAGTGTTATCTGGACCAAGGGACATCTTTCAATTGCCATCACCATTATGTAGAGAGGCAACAGATGAACAAAGCTGGACTCAGTGATAAATGCTCCATCCCCGAGACCACACTGGAAAGAGCACTGATGTAGCTGCTCTTGGAGAAGCTAAAAGGAAACTGGACTGAAAGTCAAATCTGTTAGTGTATTTTCTTCGTGATTTTTAAAGAGCGGCCCCAGAAACATTACTTCCATTTTTTCAGTACTTAGAATGCAACAGCAATGAAAGCTAACATTACAGGGAGTATGTGCTCCCACCAGAAAATGTCTTCAACAGCTCATAAAAACCTGGCCATTTATCAGCACTGCAGGAGATCTTTATTACCTCCCTACAGCATATGCTCTGCTATGATGTAGTTATTGATTTAACAAGTAAACTTCATGGCGAGCTTTTATCTTGGAATTAGCAGCAAGACTGAAATATAGACCTTATTATTCTAATAACACAGAGATGTGAGATTCCTGCATATTCCAAAGGCCATATCATCACCTTAACAAGCATCTCATTAGGGCTATCTGGCTGCCACATCAAAGTGTGTGCCGTGAGGACTTTAACAATCGTGGTATCACACTCACCCCCAGCAATTTCACAGCACTTTTGTTTTTCTTCCTACAGGTTTGGACATCAGGCAAGCTCAGGTTATTGTGCTGTCATCGGGTACCAAATGTATAAATGGGGAATACATAAATGACCAAGGGCTTGCGGTCAACGACTGCCATGCAGAAATTGTGGCAAGAAGGGCATTTGTTCACTTCCTCTACTCACAGCTGGAGCTACACTTAAGGTAACTGAATTCTGTTGATTTTTGGGGGCTGTTATATGGCCTTCAGTGGAACAGATCCATCTTACAGACAACTGAACTATTTGGTTTCTTATGTCATTTTTTCTGTGTGTTTAGGTGATGAAGGAACAATACACTGCACACAAAAGAAAATTGAGAGTTAGGTAGTCTAAAGTGTTGGGTCATGAGCTGCTTTACTTCAGCTGATTCTCTTTCAGCAGCGATTAGATATGACTCATAAAGCTGGGCTTTATGAAGCCTGATGATTTTGTACAAATCTTTACGTGCAGGCTTATTAGCATCATTCACTGACCAGAGACTTGAAGGGAGTCATTTTGCTTAATGCAGCCATTTTCCTGTCTTCCTTGCTGCTGCTGAAAGATCTCAAAGAAGTGATTTATTAATCATTAATGTCTTCATTGACTCACTACAGAACCAATGAGTGTTAACAGCACAGCAAACTTTGTGCCAAAGTGTAAGATGCTATCACTTACTCCTTCTTTATGATGTTTTAAAATGTTATAGCATGTAGAATCATTACAGTGGAATTATTGTTCCTGTCTTCAGCCAAATCCACCTTGTTATCATTTAAATGGCTAATGGGTCACAGACTGCCTGGAAGATGGTAGTAAGTGGGATACCTCACCTCAGAATGCTGTTTTTTCTCTGATCATGTCTATCAACAATCTGGAAGAGGTTACATTGTGCTTGGTTATAAGCTTTGCAGGGGACACCAAAATGTGGGAAGCACCAGTCACTATGCTTGATGGCTGGTCTGTCATCCCGGCAGGCTGGAGGGCTGGACCAGCAGGAACACTGACAGAAAACAGCAAGGACAAATGCAAAGTTCCACACCAAGGAGGAAAGAATGACATTCCTCCTTTCCACCAAGAAGGAAAGAAATCCAGGCTGGGGAGCAGCTCTGCTGAAAAATGATGGGGCTTATAGGCAGACAGGGACCAGAACATTAGCTAGTGGTGTGCCTAACAGCAGGGAGAACAGCAGGATCCTGGAAAATATGAAGAGTCTGCCAAGGGATGTGTGCATCCACCACTAATCAGCACTCATTACAGCCCATCTACAATGCTCTGTGCAGTTTTGGGTGCCCCATCAATCATCTGACACAGATTCAGCAGAGGCTGCCCAGAGTCTCAGGGGCCAGAGTGCCTGGGCTGGCTGGAAGTGCTGACAGACCTGGAGCTGATCAGCCTGCAGGTGGGATGGCAGAGCCAGCAAAGCATGCCAGCAACACAGTGGAGCTGACATCTTCACCAAGGTGTGCAGAGGGAAGGGGGCAGACAGGAGGCACATGCTGAAACAAGAGAAGCTCAGTCTGAGTGTGAGGATTGATTTTCCCCATGGGGTTGGGCTAGCAGTGGGACAGATCACTCAGAAGGATTGTGCAGTCTCCCTCCTGCCTTGGACATTTTCAAAATCTGGGTGAATAGAACCTTGAGCAATCTGTCAAACTAATTTGAGAAGGAGGTTGGGATAGAGATCTAAAGACCTTACCAGCCTGAATTATCCTATGATGTGAAAACTAAGCAGAAGAAAAGCTGAGGTGGCATTTATTATGTGGAAGAACCAAGAAATTAAGGAAAACAAACAAAAAAACCTCTTTCTCTATAGGTCATTCTTCTGCCCTCCATTCTTAAGAGCATATTCATGTGACTTTTTCTGAAGGCCATTAAACTCAGTGCAAAAACTTCCTTTGACTTCAGAAGGTTTTGCATCAAGTCACAGACACAAGGGTTAACCTAAGCAGGATTGTGTGCTCTTATAAGCACCTGTGATACTGTTGCACCTAAGCAACAATAGCAGGAATAATGGCTATTTTAACTTCAGGCTGGAGCTGAAGACAAGAGAGTATATTGAGCACATGGGTTTGGCTAACAAAGGGGGACAAGAGCATTGAAGGGTTTAATCAAAAACAATATTCTCTCTATTTCATTCTGAATTGCTTTCAAGTTTACATTAAATTATTATGTCTTCAGCAGTGTAGCAGCCCTAGTACTTGCTTTGTGCTATGGTCTCTTGGGAAACAAGTGCTAACACTGTATCTTAAACTATTGTATTGATCCACCTCCCCAACATGTTCAGTCATATTATTATTTTATTTGGATCAATGTTAACAGCCTTTGTTAACAGAATCCTCAGTGAAGCACAAGCTCTGTTCACAGTAACTTCAAATTATTCTCTGTTCAGCCAAGACCAGGCACCATCACTTGCCTGACCAGCACACACCATAAAAATCTCAACAAAAATTGTCAAGGCTAAGCACCTCTGAATGACAGAGCTGGAGTTACTGTCAAAAAAGTCCATGGAGAAGAAAAATTGTGTGTTGTTATATATTCTTAAATTTTAATATTTATTGCTACACACAGTTTTTTGCCATCATCAGGAGTTTTATCCTGTCGTGACAAAATGGGGGAGTTCAAAATGAAATAAAAAATGCATTTTCTGCACATTGAAATCATATTTATTCCTTTTTCTCTGGAAAAAGAGAGATCTTATTTTCACAGAGAAAACACATGATTCTGCCACATAGCTATAAGGACAGAGCTTTTAGGGCTGAAATGGTAACTCAGCTCCGCTGGGACTACCTGTGCACCATCTCCTCAGGCTTGGGGGGAACACAAAGTTATTGTAATGCATTTGCATTAACCTAGCCCAAATTAAACTCCTCTCCTACACCAGGAAACTGTTGTACAAAGTAATAAAAGAACTGAGACAAAAAAAGATGGTTTTCTTTTGAGAGCATTATTCTTGACTTAAAGAACTTAAATTTTCCATCATTCACTATGGAACAGGCAAGTTTGTTCTGTGGAGAGTATTTCCTTTTTCCACATACCTTCCTCCCACCAAGACTACCTGCTGAGAGTGGTCTCTGCAGCTGGATTTCAAACTTCAGGAACTTCCAGTGCAATAAATATTTTTCTGTGTGATGCTGTCTTTGAAAAGGAACCTCTTTTCCAAAATTTACAAATACTACCATTGATCTCAGTGTAAGCAAAACACACGCTTGGCTGAGTGTAGCATGAGGGCTTCTAAGAGCAAGGGCAAGCAGGTTGGAGAAAGCAAGGGCCAGGATATAAAATTAATGGCGAAGAGACACGGATTCACTGAATTGAATTTACTTCTTGGCAGCCAAGTGTTGCCCAGGCTCCTGTGATCACCAGTGGGGAGATGGGCACCTCTGAGGTGGAGCTCAGCAGACCTGTCCAGGTATCTGTTTGGGGTGAGATAAAAGGCCAGGTACTGGGGCAATTTATTTTCCATTTCTCTAAAAAGAGAATATGGCAACTTCTTCACATTTTTAAACTGTAGGACAATTCCATCTACAAGCCAATGTTGCAGCAATATGCAAATTACTTCTTTTCCCCTTCTCTTCTTATTGCTAAATGTTAGAGGTATGACTTTCCTGACTTTTCTTGGAAAAGAGTTCCAGAAATGGAACTTTATCCTCTCTAAGAAGCAAGAGTGACAAATACTTCAAAAGGAAACTTTCTTTCAACAATTCATTGTCTAGAGCTCGAGTTAAATAAAAGCTAAAAGCACAACTAAAACCTGTCAGCTTCTAACCAGTGTGATTAAAACCCTTAGCCCTCCCAGATTTCATTTTTATGACAACCATAATCCTCCAGTTCTCCAGACTTTCACGAAAAAGATGAGAAGACGAAAATTTTCTGATGCACAAAAGAAGGACAAGAAAGACCTTTTAAGAATCTTTTTCTAAGAATCACCACCAAAAAGCACACAAACTCAATAGTCTGATTCTCTTGAAATGGTGATAGGAAAATCATTTTCAGTGGTATTATTTATATCAACCGGCCAATAGGGAAGAAAAGAAAATACAACTCTTCTTTTTTATAGAAAAACAAAATTAATAGAGTATCCTTAAAATAAATCAACACCATTGCAGGCTTGCTGCTGTAGTTCACCCTTCAGGTGCCAGGGAGATGATTTTGCCAGAAGGTAAGCTCTTTCAGCAAGTCAGATGAAAACCACTGTTTATTTTATACAGGAAAGGAAAAAGGAATAGTCTTAATCCAGTCCAGTTAAGTTACTTTTTCCAGGAAAATCAGCTGCCTGTTACACATCTACTAAGCATGCTGTTAGTTTCTCTGGGACACTAGAAACTTCCTGTAAATACACTTACATGCTAAAAAACTGCTTCTCTGCTTGTCAGACTTTGTTTCACCAAAATGCTTCATATATAATAAACCATAAGCATGTGCTAAAGTATCTTCTTCAAGTCAGCTCAAAACACGGGCATGTGTTATGCTGAATAATGAACTTAAGCAAAAGATTAGAATTTAGCACGTTCTTAAATGTTTCACTTGAATGAGCCTCAAATCCTAACTCCCACAGAAATTTGTAACAGGCAAAGTTTTAGGGATGAATTCTGCTCTTTTAGCCACTGCCAGTACACAGAAACGACACTTTCATGCCACCCCCTGAACGAATGGGATCTGCAGGCTCACTGTGGGCTCCGTTGCTCTGTGCAGGTTGTGTATGGCTGTGCAAAGGAGGTTGCAAAGAACAGCTGCAAAGTCACCTTCCCTCTCACAGGTCACCTGTCCCAGAGACACGGCACGAGGCACTGCTGCTGGAGTAGAGGTGACTTTGCAGAAGTGCATCTCATGCTTTACCTGGATTTGAAATACACCAAACATGCCATGCACAATAATCTTTACTAAGCCATGGCAGATGATGTTGCAACCTAAACTTTTTCCAACAATACTCGCTGAGTTTTGTTATGAATCCTATTCAGCCATAATGCAGGAATGAACTTCATATTTGAGTTCAGCTCCTAAAAAAGCATCCCAAAGGCAGGTCAGGACCCTATGTGATATGAAGAACCTCAGTCTGCTGGAGGAGAGAGTCAAGCTGCCTTGCCCTCCAGCCCTGCCAACTATTTTTAGACCAGCTGTCTATCATCCAACCTTGCAGCTACACTGGCCACAGACCCTTGCTGGTGCTCATGAAGAGGTAAGAGAGCAAGGTTAATCAGTGAAAAACAATGACCAGTGAAAACAGGACTGAAGCTGAACTCCTGAAATCCAGCCCAAAGCATGACTGCTCCAGCCCTACATAGCAACTGTCTCCAAGTACTGTAAGCTGCCCCCCCAACACTCTGGTGAGATTTAATGTAATAATAGCAGGCATTTGGACTGCACAGCTTTGTATTCTCCCAGCTGATTTTGCAGTGAATTATTTAGAACTACCTGCAATTGCTCTAAAGTCCAAGCAGCAGGACTTACAGATATTTTATTATTTCAGAGGCTTGCATCAGGGCGATAATATAATTAGTGCAGTTGGGAAGTTCCACCACAGCCAGCAGAAAATGAAGGAGCAGCATGTGGCAGCCCCAGCTCGGCAGCCAGTGTGACTCCCTGTCCCTGACAGGCGAGCTAATGTGCCTGTAAATTCCTCCTGACAGCAAACGCATCCTGGCATCAAGAAATGACAAAACACCCAAACCATGGAAGAGTGACAGCCAAACAGCTTCAATAGCACAGAGGCTGCACTGGGAGAAAACAGGCAGAGGCAGGTTGGAAGAAAGCCAAGGACTCGCTCAAAGGCTGAGTAAAAAGCACCCCTGTTTGCACTATCAGGAGGCAGAGAGACAGGCAGAAATTGCCTTGGTTAATGGGCTGTCCTGCAGTGAATTAAACGGGTGGGATTCTGCCTTATTAACAGCATCCTAGGAAAATCATCTGCAGGTGCTGCTCTGTTCAGAGATATTTCTCCAAAAAGACCCCTGAGTTTTTGAGGGAAGGACCAGGCCAACAGAGGGAAAGGAGTCTCATCACAATTTCACCAATCACATTTTCACCTTCAAAATTATAATCATGACCATCGCCCAAACACATGTTAGAGGCAGCTGTCTGTCAGAGAAATCACCCATATCTTCCCCAATGTAACTCATGGGAGGAGCTGCCCAGCAGCAGAGCCTTAATGCTGCAAACGGCAGCGCTGGGAGGGTTTGGCCTCCCGGGCAGCTGTTGCTAATGGAATGTGTGCACTGCATCCCCATCTAGCTGCTGAACCACTGCAAAGATAAAAGCTCCGTCTCAATAAGTATCTTTTTCAACTCAGCTGAGAAAATCCTGCACAAGTTTTGTCCAGCCTTCTTAAGATTTCTTCTGCTTTCCAAAAATGCCAAGTGACCAAGAGGACCCTGCTGGCCTAGGTGGGGCACTTGTTGGTGGCTCTGGTTGAATGGGGCAGAAGAGCAGGGAGAGCCGGCAGTGACCATAAAATTTGGGTGCTTTGTTAGAGGCCCTTTTCAGTGGAGCATATGAACACACATCTCAGCTGTGGTGATTGATGTTAATGGGATTCAAACATGTGCCTAGGCACTGTGATCAGCAGAGCTGATGTGTTCACATGAGAGCCCAAGAGAACTCCTTTTTCATGCATCAGAACCACTTTAAAATCAGTGTGTTTATGCATCTGTGCATGTAAGGAAGGAGAGTTACCCTTCAAAAATCCACATTTTATCATTAGAACATATCTTAGGTAAGCAAGCCAAAAGCCCTTTGGCAGTCTTGACCTCTTTCACACATTTCTTCACCTGGAGAAGCTCATTGTTTTTCTTTTGCTGTCACTAGGCAAAATATACGATGCCGGGTGCTAATAAAAACAAACAAACAAGCAGAGGGAGAAAGGAGAGAGAGAGAGAGAGCACAGAAATGTTTCTGATTTGGCATGTAACAAATGACCTGGAACCTCTTTTGTGATCATAGCAAACGGCGAGAAGACTGGGAGCGATCAATCTTCGTGCGATTAAAAGAAGGAGGCTACAGGCTGCGGGAGAACATCCTGTTCCATCTGTACGTGAGCACTTCACCCTGCGGAGACGCGCGCCTTAACTCCCCCTACGAAATCACAACCGACTGTAAGAGAAAAATCTTCCCTCTCCTTTTCCTCCTTTGTGTGCCTTTTGTCTTTCTTTTTTTTTTTTTTTTTTTTTGGTTGGTTTTTTTTTCTTTTTAAAGATCCTTCTTGCTCTCTTTCTTTGCTGGCAGAAAGGGTTTCACTTGAGAGCAAAAACACTACAGGCTTTAGAGGGTGTGTGTCTGCCTGTGCAGCTGGTGCTCAGTCCTGTGTGCTGGGGGAAGGTATGCAGGGAAAGTCAGAGCTGGGCAAGGCAGCTCTGCACACCTGGGGCTCTGTGGCTCTGCTGGGGAACACATCCCTGCATTTCCTGCTTGATACATACAACCTTAAAAGTAAATAAGTGTTTTGGGAAGCATTCCCATGATCAAAAAAATTCTTGAAGCCACAGCCAGAGGCTGGACCAGAGGATCAGGGCTCTAACTGGAGATACATAGACTCTTCTCAGGGTTCTCAGACTATGTGTGGGTTGAAGGGTTGCATTTTCACAGGCTGCAGCAGCTGGAGTCTGAAGCCGAGCACTGATATGATACAATATATGATACAGCACATCTGTAGTGTTGATTGTTCATCAGACTCTCTTCAAATATCATCTGCACTTGCAGCAAATAACGGCAAGACCTGTGTAGAAAGGATGCTTCTGAAGCCATGCTGCCTATGTCAAATATTCTGCATGGTCACTGCATGGCAGGTGGGTTTGTTGGAGTCCACCAGGACAGCCTTAGAGTCCCTGGAGCCATACCCATGGCATTCAAGCAAACACATGATTTTCCAGGGATTTCTTCTCTAGAGGTGATCCTGAAAATGAGATTAACAAATCAGGTCTTGGGTCAGTGTGTGCCACCAGCAGACCTGCAGAGCTTGCTGTCCATGATGACAAATCCCACCTCCACCACGACCCAGCACTCCCACCTCATCACTCCCCAGGCATGCCTGTCCCTGCCCTCACCCTGCCATGGCAGAGGCACGTCCTTGCTGCTTTCCCACTGCACCAGCTTTGTCCCTGCCTAGCCACGTGGAATGCCCCCAGCAAGGGACAGGGGACCCCAGAGATCTGTGTCTTGTTATCACATGCCTGTCACCCCATGATCCAATGCACAAGGCACTCTCTTATCTCTGCCCCAGCTACTGCTCCTCATACCTGCATTTTACAGTGCTGCAGAGCCCACAGTGCTGGCTGCCAAATGTGCACATCATGAGAAATGGTCCTTGCCTTGACTACCTTGAATGTGAGGCAGGCAAGACAAAAGAATGGATGGAGGAGGAAGCATAGACATGGGAATGTAAAATTAATCACCCAAGGTCACACAACGACCTCACTTCCTCACATGCAAATCCATCAGACAGTAGTTTCACTCCTTTGTGATTTGTTATTTGTATAAGTTATTTATTAATGATTAGGTATTATTCTGCCCAGAACAGAATTTTTTTTCACATGTGAAACAGCAGCTTGCTGGGGCAAGAAGCAGAATGCCCTTATTCAGGAATGAAATGTGGTCCTTGCCTGAAATTATTTCTGCATTGTGTCTGCAGGGTTTATAAAATGAATAAAAGGAAGTAAATGCTTAAAACTCAAAATCAAATCAACAAATTCCTGATGAGTTAACAAAATGAAAAGACATAGCATCTTCTTAAATCAAAATTAAAAGTAAAAAGGGCACCCTTATGAATATCAGAAAGCAATAGTGATCTTTGGCCTCCCACTGTATAGGTGTATCAAGAGATATCTGAAAAGGCTTTATGTTTCATTGAAGGCACTCATGTTTTCCAGAAGGCAGATTTCCTGGGGCATCCCTTAGCTGACATCACAATTGGAAACACCAAAAATCTGTAATTACTTTTTAAATGTGGTCCATTCTCAAGGGCAACCAGAGGCTGTCCAGGCTGGATTCTGCTCTTGGCATGAGGAGCTCGGTGCTTTGGGCAGCTGAGAGCCCATGCTGCCTGATTATATGCAGCTGAACCCAGCCCTGGAGGTGAACCCTGCTTGGCTCATGGATTTCTTCACAGACGAGATAAATCTCCCAGCTAATGAGGGAATGCTTCTGTAGATAACAAGATACACAAGGAGCTGTGTTTAAAAATATGCAATCACACAGTACATGACACAGACAGTAAACTTGTCAATAATCATGAAAATAATTTTCCTGTTGGCTATTACACCAATTATTTTCCCAAGCAGAAGCTGTGGCAGAAAGGTCTGTGTGGCTTAGCCAAGGTTACACAGTGATTCAGTAGCAGGACCTCAAGAGATGCCACACCTGGCTCATAACTCACTCTTTTAAACAAATCCCTCTACCTTCGTCCTGTGCTCTTAAAATAATTTAACACTGTGTAGAAAGCCATTTGCCAAAAGCTGTCCTTCAGAGAGATAAGCATTTCCTCTCATCTCACATTATCCCAGAGACATCTGGGAAGATAAGTATTTTATAATGTTTATCATCCAGATCCTCTCTTTCCTCTTTTTTTTTTTTTCCTAAAGAAATAACCTTTCTTTCATCCCATAATGACAAGAAACTCCAGATGAATGTTGTTTAATTTCTTAAACAACAAAGAGACCTCTCCTAGAGCTAGCACAAGCCATCAAACATTACTGATTATTCTCTAAAGATGCATTAACATTTAAAAACGTTGTCTCACCATGTGGTTCCTGGTTTTGAGAAGGAATATGATAAGCCTTTATCAATATAGGGAGCGAGTAAAATCCACTTCTCAAATCTCCTTCCAAAAATTTCCTATTATCCACCGTGTCTTTCCAGCACCCTCAGGGAGGCCTCACATTTCCTTCTTATGAGCTTTGTTCTGGTAAGGGAGGACGTAAGCTGGCATGCTTTTGAAACCCAGTTTACTTCTCACTGGATAGAGCAGAGTACCAAGTTTGTGGCATGTGTAAAAGTCTGAGAGCTGCAATGCAGAGGAGAGATCCAGGCAGCCCACAGCCATGCCAGCTTCATGCAGGAAAGAAAGAGATTAGGGACAAGGAGATAAAATCATACTTTAATTTGAAGAAATGGCCTTCTTGAATCAGAAGTAAGCTGACTTGTTTGTTGATAACATCCTTAGACAGCTCTAAAAGAGAGACCAAATCAGTTGGACCAGGCTGCTTTGAGCAGGGAGGGGAGTTTTTCTAACTCTTTTTTGGTGCCTGTAGGTCAGGAAGTGAAGTCAGAGCTTTGGAAGAAGGGACAGTCTGAGAGAGCAGGAGAAGAGGCTGAGGGGAAAGAGGCCAGAGCAGCTGAGAGCAGGAGAAAAGACCAGCCAGGGTCAGTGGTGCTGCAGGAATATGAGACTGGGAAATGCCACAGGGGTTTCAGATGTTTTCATGGGTTTGTCCTGGCTCATCCTCTCTGGTCAGTCTCCTTCTCAAGACCCTTTCCATCATTTTCCAAGGTCAGCCTCAAGGTTGTGGCAAAGCTTTATGACAAAAAAGCAGCTTGTTCCTGGTGTCCTCACAACTCCCATTGCTCCTTCACACACACAGCTTCTTCCCCTCCGTCAGTTCGGTGCTGCAGCTCAGGGAGCCTGGGACATCTCCCTTTCTGGTGCCTTCTGCCTTCGTGTACATCTCAGCCAGGTGTGCCTGGATTTCTGAGCTCTCCCAAGGGCAGTACCACAGCACCAAGTCACCGTGGGTTTCCTGAGGAGCCTAAGGGAGCTGCTGTTTCCCATTATGGCACACACACTCCTGCTCATGAGGTGGAGCCCTGGGGACAGCTCCCCCTGTAGTATTTGTTGCATATTTTTCACTTTTTCCTAAATCTAGGGCAAACCACAGAATAATCAAGCCCTTGATTTGCTACAGCACCATCCTAGCTAATTTAGTGCTTCTGGATTCATTGGCTTTTTTTCCTTTTTTTTCTTTTTTTCTTTTTTTTTAAGTCTCTTGAAAAGCAAAATTAATTGATTGAAAATTTGAGCTAAAAAGAATCCTCTACTTCCCCCACTCTCCTTCCCTGGCAGCATTTTACCTCATTGTCCATCTTTTTTCTAGAGATGTGCTCTCTCTTTTTCACTACATGGATCACCAAAGAGACAAACAGAATCTGCCCCAGGGCTTGTCTCAGTTCTTCTCCCCTGGGCTGCTTTTCTATCTCTTGCTAACATGCTGTATTGCCTTGTGCCATTGACTCCCTGATAGCCCAGCTCCTGTTTTATCCCACACTTCCTTTAGGTCTGAAACACACCATTGCATCTGCTCCACATGGGGTTTTTCTCCTGCTTGTCTATTAACCTACAGCTGTGCTGAAGCTCTCATGCACACACATTTGACAGAACTCTCATCTAAGCAGGACCCGCTTGCAGCCACGTGAGCCACATCATTGCCTTGGTAGGTGATGTGATGAGGAGAAGATGTGCACTGCAGTTTTCAGAGACTTGGGGAACTGAAGAGTACCCAGGGAGACACATTTGTGTTTTCTACTTCAAGTGTTCTTTCACTGGGCAGACCTGTGCTTTCCCTGCTTGCGATTCTGGCTGCTGGATTTTACATTCCATTCTCAGAAAAAAATGCTCTCTTCACCCCCAAATCCAGGGCTGCTGGGAAGGAGTGTCCTGCTCACAGCAGTAACTCAGCATTCTGTGTTCAGATGGGGCTGACCAAGGATTTGTCATCCCAAAACCAGACCCCTAAAAGTCATATCCTGAGCAGACTGGCTGGAGAAGTTCAGATTCACACAGAGACTCTCTAAGGAGTCTGATGATCTCTTAAAACTGGCACAAGAGCCTCAGCCCCAAAAGTCAATATTCAGTCCTTCAGGGAGTTATAGTATGGAAATACAATGAGGATGCTTATGGCAGTAACTGGGCTAGAATCACTCCCCAAACCATTCGGTTTGATGAACACTTCTGGATGTGCAAGGGGAAGAAATCCCTGCCATCTTTTTGCCAATCCTATGTTTGGTTCAATGAACAAATTCTGTTCTTGAAAATAGATGGTAAAAGGGGAAAGCACTTCAAGAAGAACTATCTAAGTAACTCAGTGAACTGAAAAGAAATTAGACA